GCACTGTGATACCAGGAAGGCTTGACTGGCACGCTAAGGCGAATTGGTGTAGATGGTAATAGTGCTATATGACTTCAATTAAGATAACATAAGTTCCGCGGTCACCTTAACCCCTGCCACTCTGAAAGAATTGGAGTGTACAACAATAAAAACAGCATCACATTGTAATATGAATATGTAAACAAATTACAGATGCTTAATCACTAATTCCAGAGAACAATTCCTGTTAACTTACTAGGAATGCCAATGTGACCATTGAGAAGAGTCGTAGAATAATGATCTACAAGTTGTTGAGACTATAAGCACTTCAACAGTTTCTCTGAATCCTTCTAGTATCGTACTTGTCATATTTCCCAATGAACTCAAAAAACCTGCATTACCTCAGCAATAAGGATATATGTTCTTCTCACACAGGCTACAAACAGTGTAACGTTGAAGAAAATTGAAAGATTTCTTGAAGAACAAATGGCAGCGTAATCTGATAATAATTTAGTCAATCTAGAATTGATGAGTAAACCGTTATTCTCCAATGTGATTAACACAATGTGCGATTATACTCTGACAAGCTTTCGGCAATTTTCTCATAGTTCTATAGAGCCTGGATACCACACCAGGGGAAGTTAGGGTAGTGTTAAGTCTGTTTTATGTTCCTGTTTTTATTCGCTTCCCTTCAACGCTTTTCCGTATTGTTTTATACTTTACTTATTTATATTCAGTAAATGATTGTATCCCTAGCAATTTCTACGCTTATGTCGTAACTCGATTTCGTTGTGTAATATCCCAAAATATTTACGTATACTGGTAACACTTATTGTATTTATCATTATAATTGCTTAAACTCAATCATTGTATTAGTTACTCGCAAGTTTGTGAAATCGTTTAATCCTTGTTTAAACGCACCAGTTTTCATACTGCTCACCCTTAGTTCAATGTTTGCTTGTAGGTAAACCGTTATCAAGTTTAGACACAGACAACGGTTATAATTTCGCACTATTGTATACTTTTTATTTTTTAACAAAAAGACACGGTTAACACCAAAGGTACCTCACATGTTGAGGTTTGTAACTAATTGTTGTATATTATTCAATAAACAAACGCTATTTTAGACAAATCATTGTTTTGTGAACTTCCATTTTGTGCGTATCTCAATTGTGTGATTCGAGTGCTTCGTTATACTTTACAAGTAGACAGTTACTAAGTTGTGTTTATTGAATCTGAAATTCCGTAAGTTAAGCAGCCACATTCCTGGAGAATAAATTCAGTAGACAAAATGTCTACAAAAGTGTTTCAGCCAAATATTTCATGTTAGATAGGATGATGGCCTTTACAAATCGGGTGACCAAAATTTACACCATGGAACGTCTTGATTTCTCATAAGCGTAATCGTATTCAGACGTATGACAAAACGAATAACATAGCTCTAGGAAAGCAGGTCTTTTGCAACTGTACTTTTCCTTTCAGTAGACAGGTGGGAATTCCCGTCAAAGCAGATGGAACCGGTGTATAAGATATCTTCTATGATTTGTCAAATACTTTCCATCCATTATCTAACCCTTTCTTCGTAGTGAAAGTTGCATTTATGTGTTACCAAAATCTTTTTCTTATCCGGAAGAGCAAGTGCTCCACATCAATGTGAACAGATTGTACGCTTGCTAAATAGTTTCTTCATCTGTAGTTTCTCAGAGTATCGATCAAGAAACACTTCATTTCCTTATTTTGTCAACTGGCCTTCAGACTTACTTTACTCTGTAGTGGATGTCGAGTCGAAGACGGACTATGATCACCACTACAATTCGTTTACGTGCCCAAAAACGACTTGGTTCCTTTGATAGCTCGCAAATCAGAAAACTTTATTAATCCAGATCAATTGTATTTATTGGCGATCTCGTGGTATCGAAATAATACCGAGACATGCCAAAGAGTACAGGCGAAAAGGCAGTGCGTGAGCAAGTTCAAACCAAACAAGGCGGAGAGCGAAAGCAGAAGTGAAACTGATACAGTTAAACAAATACTGTAAAACAATCTCTGGTACAATTGGTTACAATAATAATAATTGTTTCCGTTATTTCAATCGTGTTCTTATCGAGACTGTCCGGTCACTACAACTCTAAAGACGTTGAACTTTTGAGCCACATATGTATTCCAAGCGAATATTCATGTCACATAAGACTGCCAACTTTCATAGTTTCCTCTCGAGTTTCCACCCGACCATGAATATCTTTACATATAAAAAGCAACATGGCGTGCCGTGGACTACTTGAACACTTGGATGGTTTGAAATTCATTAATGTCAAACCAGTCCTACTGTACGGAGATGAAACTTCAGGAACTACTAGAAACATAATCAAAAAACACAGATAATAATAAACGCCTAGGAACTTCAAATTCACTGGCTAAAAAACATCAGCCATTTTCGAACGTTGCACAGATCAGACTAGGTTCCTGCCAAGAATGAAATGCTAAAAACGCTGAAGATAGTTAAAAGACGGTTTGTGGAGACCATCAAACCTCATCACAAGCCTAGTACCAACATGAAACCTTCAAATCAGAGAGGAAACGAGGCAGACTAAAAGTGCATACGTAGCTGAAAATGGAAGACAAACATTAGGGCTATGGAGAGCACTTCGAATTAACTTCAAGAAGAGCTCTGCACAAAGATCCTTGTCTACTGCCAACTACCTGAGAATAGTCACAGGTGTAGTCAAGCGAGCAAATAAAGCTTCCAACCAGTTCTGTATATTAATTCAAGATTTTTGGTAGTTGTCATTTGACGTGTATGAATATCACCTTTGGTTTTCTTCAGAATGTAATCGTATAATAAATTTGTGGAAAAATTTAATGTTCTGGGTTTCTTGCCTGTCAATTTTCCTGATGTCCCATCACTCACACAGCCAGTGTCTGCATCTTTAAATACATTCCTCAGAAATGATAGCCTCAAACTATCCATAACCGAAACTTAAGAATATGACCACAGTTTTAATTATAGCCTTCAATCAAATTAACGATAGTCTATGATACGGATTTCTCAAAAAACCACACTAGTTTTTCTTTCGCTCTTTGTATTCATAAACAACCTCTCAGGAAACCTAAGATAGTCAGTATTATCTAGACGGTTTGTGGGAAAATGTCGTTTGTGAAATCGGCTCACGAGGGCCCCGAAAACCGTGTAATGATGGAGAAATGAACAAAAGTACAGCGGACTTTATGTTACTGCTAACGGAAGGTTCTAGCTATCATAGTAGGAAAATGTGGCTAAATTTTACTCTTATCTTAAACTTATCTCAGAGCGGTTATTGATGCTGACTTCTGATTTCGTTCCGACGCTATCTAAGACCTTCATTCGTCAAGATGTAGATCCAGATTTTTACATAACATAGTCTGACGCCCACTCAACAATACAGATATGAATATACCTTGCACGTACAGAGGAGTGCACAAAACGAGTTACTAGGGTAAGCGATAAACCGCATGATGACCAACTTCACTACTGAGGATTTAACTCATGGAGTTGCAGGGAAGTACAAGGCGACCTAGTAGTGGTGTATAGCACACTGAGCACATCTATTTAAACCACTTTGAACATGTTAAATGGACGGTAACTTTGCCATTAGCTAGATAACTGTGATAATTAGAAGCAGTTGATTTTTATACGAACCAGAAAGACCTGAAATAACACAATTCAGACCAAGAAGAACTAAGTGAGCACAAACGAACTTAATATATTTGGAATTAAAAATCAGGCAGACATCAAATACAAAAGAATCATTAGTTCATACAAACACTACAGTAGCTCACGATGCATTGTGCATCAAAGAGTGAATACCTACATAAGACCACAAGCCCGACCTGAAATGCCCTCTAAACTAGTGTGGTAGCAGCTCCTCAGTAAATAATTTGTAGAGAAGGACCAACTATGCACAAGCACCCTTGGGTTAAAGTCCTTCACCTGGAACTTCTGTACCTGAAGCATGCCTCGCATTTTACTATAGCTACCACTATAATTGTTATATCATCTCTGCTTATTCTAACCCATGCCAACTTTGCCAGTATCTTTGGTTGTTCACGACATCTGAACAAACTGTCTGTAATCGTGTTTTGAGCTAATGACGGTAAATTTCGGCGAAAAGCAACAAGAGATTGCGATAAATATGCACTTGAGGTTGACCTGAACTTTCTAGTCATTTAGTCTAACGTGTCATTAACGTCTGTCAGCTTGGCCCTGTGAATTTGCCTACACATTAGATAGATGGAGAGCTACAGCATCGGGAGGCTTTTGCATATATTACGGGTAAAATGGAAATATTAACAACAATGGAATAATATTTTGAGTTCTTAAGTACATATCGGGTTATCTACCCAATTATTTTGTGGTGGATCCCAGTAAAAATAGCTATTCAAGATTTAACTAGACGGACAGTTACTGATGATATGCCAGAAAATTAACACTTCAAACTTTTGTCTGCTTCTGAGTGAAGTTAAACGGTAGCAAAATGTGCTCAGACTAAAGTGATATATTAAGTGACAAAATAAAAGCAATGCTTATGAATTTAATGTTACTTGTAGGCTCCTGCTGAGATAATCACAGATGATTTCACTTACTTAACGATGGTTCATCTGCATATGGTGGCACCAACGACGTGATGAGAAACACGGTATCGTTCAATAATAGCCCAGATCAAAACTCAAACGCAGTGAAGAATAGCCTAAGAGCATGTCGTAACACTACCATGATCTTCAATCACAGGTCGTGGCTAATAATGTAGAATAATAGCCGACAGAGATAACGTTTTATTTTGATAAAAACAAAGTGGTGAGCATGTGTAAGTACAACTACAAATTTATACCTGCCCTTAAAATTGACAAGGAAAGACAATATATGTTAAACATAAATGTGATTGTATATAAAGTGTCGCAAATAAGGAAACAATGAAACATGTATCTTGTCTTTACAAAAATTATTGAATATACAAGTTGCTATGACCTTATATAAGATACTTGGACCAGGAGGGAGCGTGAAGAAATCAATTCGTTCATACGAGCTCACTACAAACATATTGAGTATCTAAGTTCAAAGGTTTTAATCCAAGGGAAGTTTTAAATACTACTTTTGTAACGATGTACAAACTGGTTGAAGGTGACCTTTGGAGGGTATTTTACGCGCAGTATATGAATTGTAGTCCCATTATGAGTTCAGATGACAAAAAAGAAACCGAAACATCCAACAAATGTGATGAGGGTTTTCTACCTGATGCAAATCCTACTTCGGAATCTCCGCGATTCTCTATAGCCATGAAAATGAATCGTCATGATAATGATAAAGACACATTGCTACCTCGTAAGTTACTTCTATTGAAGCCCTCAAAATCAAGAGGGAAACTTTCGAAAAGTAGTCAGTTTACATGAACGAATACGTTTGAGTTGACCGTATAGAAATACATGTTCCTGAGGGTGTTGTCCGTCAGCCTTTTGTCATAATCATGACAATGAGCTATCTTTACCTTTTGACTTATTGCATGTGTGTAGCCATGGCTGTTTAAGAAATTTCAAGAGATTTAGTGACTAGTTACCTTACTGAAATAATACGGGATGCCCAGTTTCTGTCAAACTAGACCGCTTGTGGTGCAGACGAAACATCTTCCTACGTACGTACGAAATTAAGTGTACTGCTCAACACTCCTCTCCTTACCATTTTAGAATTGTCAAATGTGATCTCTGAAAGTAACCATTAATTCACTACAGGTGTCTCCCACCTTTCCTCATCATTAAATAAACAATACCACGCTTAGGCGTATTGCGATAGGGAGTGGTTGGGTTTCTATTCTAAAATAGAACCATTGTAAAGTAGTGGAGTCGGTCAAATCATAACTGAACATCCCCACAGAAATTCCCTGTATTAAGGTCTGTATCTTATCTGGCCTCATAGATTTTCTTAATTGTAAACAGTGAAATAACCGTAACCCGTGATTTAGGATCCAAGATGATACAGCTCAAAATATGACCCAGTAGCTAACGTGCATTCGTTCATTGTATTCCTTGAAATTTTCGCGTCTAACATTTACTTTTTGTCCTTAGATCTCATTCATTTTCCAATATTATTTTATGCCTAATTCTTCGCCATCACAGGTTTCTTTGTCTTCAGTCTATCCAACTTCCTCTTACTGTGGTACAACTCTTAACGACTCTGTTGTTAATGACTAACTACCATCATTGGGCTTCGTAATTTTTTCGTTATAACAATGTGATGAACTAAGAGTTGCGACTGTAGCAGGTATTTGTTAACCCGACAAAATAAACACCGGTTTTGTGTCCCATGATATTCATATGTGCTCAAACACCTAAAGTACTAACTAGTTCCCCAATGTTAGCGGCAAGTATAACCATAAGCTCTTTTCGATCATGTAAAGACAATGTAACGTCATTTGATCAGCACACGATTCAGTCGACAGGTGGTTTCCTTCATTATGATTTTGTTAGGCATATTTCGTATTGTCACATCAGTACAATAGTAGTTAGTATGTTAAGTTTTTCAGTCCAAATTAATTCATGAATTCACCGTCTACGCTGTGTGTAAAACTATACTTTCTTGGTAGAATCGCCAAGTAACCAGAATTGAAAATCGAAAACCGTAATATATTTCAGTACCGGCCGTGGTGGAGCAAGTACAATCAGTTTTAAACTTGTATAATTTCGATTTTTACCAATATCTCAGTGCGCCTATGTGACTTGTAAAATTGTGAACCTACCGAAATTTGTTCTGAGCTGTACATTTTATATTTCTGTTTGTCTACCTCACTTGGATCAAACTTCCTCAAGAGCAAGAAGTTTTTTTCCGCCAAGAGGTCGTACATTGTGTCCTTTAAAATATCCTCTTAGTTCATATCTATTTAGTGTTCAGTTCGTATTAATTCATCAGAGTACTTTTCACAAACTGCATTATTCAAGTTAATTGCTCCGAAGTCATCGAAAGACGATTTTTTTAAATTTTTCATAAACCTCAGTAATCAACTATTAAAATCAATCCATTGAAGATAAACCGTTGTTTTATAATTCAGGAGAAAATTAATTAGTTCAATCTCGTGTGATTTTAAAGTGAAAGACGTTTTAAGTCATGTTTTTAGTCTATGTTTAGAGAGGAGTAGTAGGCATATTTAATTGAATAGTTGAAGTGCTACATATATTCCACTTAAGTATATGCTTGAAATTATTTCTTACCTTTCTTGTTAGCTTCACCTCCGAAGTTTGTGTCAATGAATCAACTTGCGGAAGCAGCTAAAGCATTCTATAATATGTCTTTAGCACATGAAATAACCGTGGATTCTGAGTTTAGATTGGAAAAGTATGAACCACAAGAAAAAAGGTATGTAAGTGTTATGATTGATTACGGAGAGTTGTTTGATTTCAAAGATGATATCAAAAGTTGGTAACCAAGCAAATATTGAAAATCAATGGCTAATAAATAGTTGTTACTGTCTTTTTTAAGACTCAAGTAGTACCCACACTTTAATCTTCTCCAGATTAAGCTTAAAATATAGAAGGAATACTTCAGACAGACCAACCGTTCTATAATTAAATTCTTGTTCAATAGTTAGAACCTTCAGTGTATAACAACTCATTATTTTACGACTAGCTTTTCAGTATTTTTTGTTGTTGCAAAAGTTCTGTTGTATGACACGCAATTAACTATAGAATAAAGAGAAACACTACGCGATCTTAAATGATCTCTAGTATATAAACACTTTGTTTAAGTTCAACTTTCTTATCTGACTCTTTATTCAAGAACTTTTACCAAGCTTAATCCAAATTCCACCTAACAAAAGAATTTTTAAACCACCTGGATCCTGTTTCAGCTGTCTGACCACATTACTCCATTGTACTGTGGCGTACACATCAATGTATTGAGAGTTTTTGTGATCAACGTAATTTATGGTTAATTCACTTCAGACTCATCTATTTATCTGTTAATCAAACTTCACAACTACTAGTGCTATTGACTGATTGACCAAACCAAATAAGGCGAAGCAGTCTTCAAACCATTCATTTATTTTATGTTAAATATTTTCAGTACCTGCCCATTACTCTATTTGGTCAATATAAAGTTCAAACTTCTGGACACAGCAAAAATAGTGCATCACTTCAAGCTGATCTATTGACGTAAAATGTAACAGCAGAGTAATCTAAAAGGGAATAACAAAGAAATTAAAAACGTAGTCCAAATAGAATGAATACGTAAAAAAGGTGCTGAAGATCTAGGCATTTTGTTTGTATATTTGAAGGCGGAGTTGTTTAGAAAAAGTATTCACCCGAAACTAATTGTTTGTAGGCTCTCGTAATAAGCCGAACTTGTACAGCTCCAGTCTCAGTAATTTAACATATAATTTCAGAGGTTTGAGGTGTATTGTTGCAACAACATGATTACTTATCATGCTGATATTTTTATCATTATTTATTTATTTATTTGAACACATAAATATTGGTACAAGGAAAAACCAGATAAATATGCGCTTCACAAATCTCATTTGATTTGTGTGAGGGCTGTGATACTGCCCACGTGCCCAAACTGAAGCAGATGGTTTTCTTAGGGGGCCTTACCCGGGGCCTTTGACCTGAAGGTCTAGTTCACAAGGCAGTGGAGCAACGTCGGGGGATGCAGTGCCATGGTAGCCGGTGACCAACGATTGTTTCATACGCCGTTCGTTCACTCAGGATACTGAAGCCCATGTGCACCATTGATTGGGAATCAGGGTTTTCCAACTCCCCTAAGTAGACTTACCGTGTCCACCAACCCGGTTAAAGCGCCAGACATTTGCTTTTCATCCTCTCAATTTCGTAAACAACAGTAATGCCACAAGAAGGCAGTGAGTAGGACTACCCTGGCAGAGGCTAGATACGCGTGGCCATATGAGAGCATTTCGAGAGGGAGAGCGTACTCTCCCCACTCTCGGCTGTACCAGGGCATTTGAGGGCGACCATACCACGTTGAAAGCACCGGTTCTCGTCCGATTTTTATCATACAACTACGTATCATAAATATTCCGATAGTGTTTCTTATTCTAAGTTCACAATTAATTATTGCTGTTTTAGGCTTTCAACATTTTATGATATTACTATACTTGTTTTTATCAGTTTTTACTAATGTGTTTTTTGTTGTTGTTGTCAAGTTTGGAATATTGTATTAAAGAAACAATGCATAGAGCATTTTGGGATATTTTACGATCTAGTTTAGATTGTGATCCTCCAGACTATGAACCAGCTTTACGCTTACTTGAAGAAGTTAAACAGGTATGTAGTTTATTTGGTTATCTACTTTGTAGTATTAGTACAATTCACTGTGTACTTCAACACCAATGACATTCAATGTTTCATTATAAAATTGCAGATTGAAATCATTCAACATAATTTGGTTTTCATAATCAAATGACACCAACAGACTTAATACACTATTTCCTACTTAAAGTGTACGCATAAAATTATTTTGACTTCTAAATTGATGAGGAAGTTAGGGTACTAATTGAGCTTGACTATGTCTTTTTTAAAGTGTTTAAATGTGATTTCCCATTTTAATAAACATAAACTATAAGTTGCTTTCATAGACGGATATAACATAAGTCCTCATATATATGTGTATTACTTTCTAGTTGCCACATCATAACGAGAGAAAATTACCAGGAGGTAATTTGGTAAAGTATAAGTTATACTTCTGATAGTAGAGCAAAATGAAAGTACACAATTAGAAGTATGTTCAGAGTTGAGTAAAAAGGAGAGGGTAAATACATGTGTGCTATGTCTCAGTCACTTCAGTTGATGGAAGTTTGCAATCAGTTTACCACCCTTGTTACTCTGTGTCCAAAAATCCTTGTTCAGTGATCAGCAGACAATTAAATTAGATGAAAAATATATCTCTGGAATAATCTCAATGATTAAAATTTAAATAACCCCGACGTTTTATCCACAAAACCTGGTTCGAGCTTCTTTAGATTACTGCCCTAAAGCAGTTCGGATCAGTTTGCAAAACAAAACTCTGGAATTATTTGAACTTCAATCACTAAGATTATTTCAAATATAATTTTTACTTACAATATCTTCTATATGATTTGCACCCAATTCCTATTAAGCTGTTCTTTCCAACCGATGTTAGGCATATCTCGTAAATAGGCTGATATATCATCAAGCTGACACTCCATCATGGATGTCTTCGAAGCACTGTCGACCATTGAGTGAACGATGGTGAGGTTATATGTAAAGTACCAGGTAAGGGTAGTAAATCGGTTGCTGACGTAGTGAATGTTCACCAAGTGAGGTAGTTGAGATATGTATTACGTATATGCAACCATCGTCTACCTCAGCGGGCAATATTGTTTGGTGTACCGGTAGATTGGAAGAAAACTAGAGACGGACAAACCATAATGTGGAGCCAATTCACGAAGTCATTGACAATTTGACTGATCCATATAGGTGGAGGAAAACTGCCTAGTTAAAATTCACCCAATTTTCGTAACTAATAGTTAGATAATTTGGTTAGCATGTCTTAGAATCGTCTGAAGTGGCTCATGGCCTTTCATTGTTTGTCATTTCTTAAATCCTGAGTCCCGGAGTCTTACCATAATTTCTACTGTTAATGGTACTGTTACTAGTTCTAGTACCCTGATATTTATCTTGACAATTTTATCTAGATGTGCAACTTAAACCGACGCATATATATATATATATATATATATATATATATATATATGATAATATTGCAAATAACTGAATGATATCTCAAATCTATCTGTTATTATTATTATTATTATTATTATTATTATTATTATTTAAACACATAAATATTGGTACAAAAAGGAACCAGATATATATGCGCCACACAAATCTCATTTGATTTGTGTGAGGGCTGTGATACTGCCTAGGTGCCCAAGCCGAAGCAGGTGGTTTACTTAGGGGACCTTACCCGGAGCCTTTGACCTAAAGATCTGATCCACAAGGCAGTAGAGCATCGTAAGGAGATGCATTTTCATGGTAGCTGATGGCCAACGATTGATTCATACACCATTTGTTTCTTCAGGATAGTGGAGCCCATATGCACCATTGGTTTGGAATGAGGGTTTTCCAACTCACCTAGGTGGACTTTCCATGTCCACCGACCCGGTTAAAGCACCGGACATTCGCTTTTCATCCTCTCAATTTCGTAAACAACAGTAATGCCACAAGAAGGCTGTAAGTAGGACTACCCTGGCAGAGGCTAGATACGCGTGGCCATATGAGAGCATTTCGAGAGGGAGAGCGTACTCTCCCCACTTTCTGCCGTACCCGGGCATTCGGGGGCAATCTATCTGTAAATTGATGTTTTCTTTGAACATTTTTATTTAACTCTTGAATTCTTTTTTCCTATCCAAACTATTTAATTTATTATTTATTTTAGTCTTTACAAGGTTTAGTTTTACCTAATCAAACAAGATTAAAAACACTTATTGAAAATCTTTTGGATATGGATATAGCTAAATCTCAATTAGAAGAAACTGGTCATTTAAGTTTAGAATTTTATAAAAATGAAGTAATTAATTTAATGAAACAATTTTGTGCTCCAATACGTGATCAAGAAATTGAAGATTTAAGAAAAATTAATGATCCAATTGATGCATTCAAGTAAGTCTTTATTATTATTATTATTATTATTAATGTAAATATACCATTTACTCTTGACGTTCTTTTCCGGCGCTTTAACCGGGTTGGTGGATGTGGAGGATCCATCTAGGGGAGTTGGCAAACTCTGATTCCAAACCAATGGTGCACATGGGCTCCTGTGTCCTGAAGGAACGAATGGCGTATGAACCAACTGTTGGTCACCGGCTACCATAGGACTGCATCTCCTTACGATGCTCCACTGCCTTATGGACCAGATCTTTAGGTCAAAGGCTCCGGGTGTGACCTCCTAAGTAAACCACCCGCTTCAGTCTGAGCACGTGGGCAGTATCACAGCCCTCACATAAATCGAATGAGATTTGTGTGGCGCATATGTATTTGGTGCTTCCTTGTGCCAATATTTATGTGTTCGAATGCATGATGAATAAATTAATTAAAAATAGACTGTTAAGAATCAAGCCTCACATTTAATATTATCTTTTTTGCAAAGTCAATAAAAACAATATTCTATGCTTTATGTTTATTATTATTATTATTATGGGCTTGTTGATTTATCAGATTTATTTATTGTATCATTGAATGGAAAGTTTATTATATGTAACTAATGCATAACTTAAATAATTCCATTTATCGTAGTAAAAAATAGGGATTTCGGAATTCATAACCTAAGGCAAGGTAAAGAATAAATGAACCTGATCCATTTCTAATGATTGTAAGAAATAACATACGAATTATCTAACTATTGATTACGTAAGTTGGATAAACTTTAACTCGGCAATTTTCACTTACCTACATAGATCAATCAAATCGTCAATGACTTCGTGAATTGAATCCATATTATGTTTTATCCGTCTCTAGTTTTCTTACAGTCTACCGGGTTGGGCCACATGTTACATATGTCTGAACACCGATTACCACGACGCGAAAATACAGACTAGTGTTGAAGACGGATGAAAGAAAGTTAGGGGCGGCCAAACCAAAACGTGACATCAGACCTTAGAGTCGCTGACTTCTGGTCTGCAGACTACTTGGTTGGGGTCCGCGCGACTATCATAACCAGTGGTTGGAGACTGGGTGAGATGACTCAGAATCGATCATAATGGCGTAGGTGTATACACTCTTTGTCTTCTATTAAACCGTCAGGTTAAAATTGTTTTTATAACTTTTTTCTTGTATTACATCCTTATACACAAACTTTCTTTGATATAATACTACCATTGAAGTAACCGCTTCTATGAATTCGGTATTCATCTTGTGCTAATGAGGTGTGGCAACTTGGACTGATGCTTATATATGCCTAATCCTACATTGTAGCTGACTGACTAACTCTAGTCTACGGCACACCAGACAACATCTGTTGAGCTGGACAATGGTAGGATATACATAATATATATCTCAACCACCTCATTTGATGAACATTCACTACGTCAGCAACCGATTTACCATCATTACCTGGTACCACATGCCTAACCTCAGCATCTTTCAGTTGTCCCAAAAAAACACGGTTTAAACGCACTTATTGTCTAATAATAGTAACCCACAAAAAGTAAAACGAAGCAAACTGCTGCACAATAACCTAATCATTTGGTTGATGGGTGGGTATAGTGCTATGCCACAAGTTAATGAACGCCAATCGAGCTTTATAAATCTGTACCAAATTCTTACCAGACGCTAGCTAGTGAGCTTCCATGTGAAGCTGTTGATGCAATTAACTTCTTCATACCCTATTCTTAATTCAGGCGTTAGTGCAGATTGGTCCTAAAGTAACATTTTTAATTTGAAGCAAAAGAATAGCATCCGAAACATTCTTTCATTTTTGCTTAAAATGGTCAATAGACTCTGCACTCTGTAAGGATCTTTACCAAATAAGGCTATGTTATCTACCCATTTTAAGTCAAAAAGTAATTCTCGTTGTAGGAGATCAGTCAGTCAATTACATCGTAGGACCAGGCACATATATGCATCGGTCCAAGTTGCCATACATTGTTAGCACAACAAGATGAACACCAAATTCATAGAAGCAGTTAATTTAGTGGTGGTAGTACATAAACTCGACCGTTGCTGCTACCTTGACGTGGTGGTCGGGCTTGCCTATCGTGATGAAGCAATCGAGCTATGCTGGCTGGAACAGTCGTTCCTCGAGGTCCTACCATGCCAGACAGGTCGGTTGAAGAGCGGTGAGACTAAAAGCAGCAAACCCAAGGTCCGAAGGCGAAGTCGTACTGTCGTCTGTACAGAGGTGTGACGGCAGTAAGGTGTTTCCTTCAGACAACCAGCATGACAGCGATACTGCCTTCCCACAAGGAGGGGTGGGTTAGAAAAGGTCGGCCTTAAAAATGCACACCTCGCCTTATCCCACGGATATCCGTCTCCGGCGGTAAGGTTTTTTTTTGAAGAACGGAGCTAACACAAAAACTTATTTATTTATTTATTTAAACACATATATATTGGTACAAAAGGGCACCAGGTACATATGCGCCACACAAAATAATGAAAGTAGGAAGAGAAGGGATGAAAAGATAAGGCGGACTAAAATGTAAAACCAGAAGACTCTTTCAAATAGGAAAGTAAGAACCATACTTTATGTAGAAAGTAAAAGAAGGTTGCAGCAGGATCGCCACTGGCTTCGATTCTGAGCCATATCTGATAACGTCTCTAGCCACTGTGTTGCACCATCTCTCGGACCCCAACCAAGGAGTCGTGAAGGACCAACAGAAGCTAGCCCTTTGCAGCTTTCTTTCATGCCACGACACCATGTCATACACTGACCTCCTCTCCGCTTTTTCCAACCAGTCCCAGGGTCGGCAAATAATGCACGACGTGGAAGTCTCTGGGACGACATTCGTAAAACATGTCCGAGCCACCGAAGTCGGTGTTTCAAGATGGTGACACCAATTGAATTATCGTCTCTGTGCCCGAACACACGATGCCGAACCTCCGCATTACTAACAAGGTGTTGCCACTGGATGTCAGCAATCCTTCGGAGACAACGATGATCGAACACAGAGAGACGTCTAACATCCTCAACTCGGAGAGGCCAGGTTTCACAAGCATAGAGCAAAACTGCTCTCACCGACGCGTTGTAAATCCGACTTTTTACAGCAAGACTAACATCACGAAGGCGCCAAAGATGGCCCAGATTGGCATAAGCCGCTCTGGCTTTCCTTATACGTGCATCAATCTCATCACTCACGCCACCACCAGCACTTATATAGCTACCTAGATACACGAACTTCTCAACTACTTCGATCTCCTCACCATCCAGGGTGAGTACAGGATTAGAATCCTGCCAGTCTTGTAGAAGTACTTTGCACTTGGAGGGTGCAAAGCACATGCCGTACCTGCGGACACTGATTGCCAACTGATTAAGTGCTGATTGCATGCCTTGGGCATTATTGCACAGTAAGACAATATCATCCGCATACTCGAGGTCGAGAAGTCGTTCTCCAGGCAACATATCCACACCGCCATTACTTACATCCATCAGAGCTGTTTCTAGGATGTCGTCGATGGCAAAGTTGAAGAGGAATGGGGAGATCGGGCAACCCTGCCTAACCCCACTGCTCGAATGGAACAAGGGAGAAAGGTGGTTGTATGCCCTCACTCTGCCTGAGGTGTTCGTATACAGGGCTTTTAAGATGTTAATGAACTTCTCAGGCACACCCTTCTTCAATAGACAATCCCAGAGAACAGTCCTGTCCAACGAATCGAAGGCCGCCGTGATATCAAGAAACACTACGATTGTTGGCCTGCGATAAGTATGACGGTGTTCTAACATTTGGCGGAGGGTGAAGATGTGATCAATGCATCCTCGACCAGAACGAAAACCAGCCTGCTCCTCGCGAGTCAATCGTTCTCGGGTTTTAAACAACCTACGAAGAATGATAGAAGCCAATAGTTTGGACGCGATCGAAAGTAGACTTATCCCCCGATAGTTGCTACAGGAACAACGTGAACCCTTTTTAAAGATAGGGACGACTATTGACTCATTCCATGATGTTGGAACACTTTCTTGCTCCCAAACCTTTCCAAACAACACAGTCAATTCCTTAGTCAGAAAGTCGCCACCATCTTTAAAAAGAGCCGGAGGTAAGTCATCTGGGCCAGGTGATTTGTAGCGCTTCAAGAGTTGGAGTTCCTTGCGGACTTCCGCCTCGTTTGGTGGAACAGTCGTCACCGGCCATGGGGGGCAGGACAAGCTGGTTGATGTTGCCGGAGCAGCAGGCCAGTTGAACTGCCCTTCGAAAAATTCCGCCCATCGTCCAAGGCGTCGGGAGATGTTAGTGATTGGCATCCCATCATCCTCGTAGATTGTTTCACTCACACCAGACTTCTTGCTGCCAGTGGCTCGGATGAGTTGGAAGAGCTTCCGGCAGTTACCAGATGCAGCTGCTGCTTCCATCTCATTAGCACGCTCCGACCACCAGGCTTCTCGGTCCTTACACAAGCTTTGCCCGATTTCATTACGTAACAGCCTTCGTTTGTGGTCAAACTCACGGTCAACTGGAGTAGACCGACGGGCTTCGATCAGTTGTAAGGAGCCAGAAGAGACCCAGTGCTTGTAAGCGGGACGTTTCGCGAAGCCGCAAGCGGCTTTACTCGCCATTTTCATGGCGTCGTGAAGATGCAACCAATGCTCATCTATACTTTTCGGTGGGATGGTAGCTAGCCTAGAGGCTAGCTCCGCTCGATACTTACTTGCAACAGGAGTTGCAGCCAGTTTACTAATATCAATCCGTTGGTGGTGGTCAATCCTTCGGCCACTGAAAAGTAAGGTGAGATTGGCGCAGACCAGGGCATGACCAGAGTCCAGATAGGTACTCCAAAAGGAGCGGCAGTCTTGTACACAACCACGCCAGCGGTAGCTGATCGCGATGTGATCAATCTGAGTCCAGGCTTGGGATGCAGAGGGAGGACGCCAGGTGGCACACCGGCGATGACTGTGCCGGAAGTTGGTGCTGGCCAGAAACAGGTTGTGGTCTGTGCACAGTTGCAGCAAACGG